CCGACAGTCCCCTGCAGGTTGGTAGAGGGCCTGCTTCAGACGTGAAGCTCGACGACTGTGACCACCTCGTCGTGCTTCCGGAGCCGTGTTCGACTTCGCATTCAGCGGGAACCAGTGGCTCCTGGAGCGATGGGCGCTGCCGCAGGAGGGAAGGAGTGGACTTTTTCATGGCTGGAGACCAGTCCACCACAGCCAAGGACCGCGACGCCCTGCAGCTGTGATCACTGACCCGCCTCTCGGTGGTCGGACTGATCCTCCCAGCTCACATGCAGACCGCCGTCGCCGAAGATATCCGCCACCAACTGGCAACAGCCATGGGCCGGGGGGTCGGCGACAAGTCGCTCGTGTGCGATCGGTGGGTGGTGGTTCGCCCTGACAGCCAACAGCAGGTGGGTAGAGGGCGTGCTGCTCACGTCACGCTCGACGTGTGTGACCGCCTCGTCGTGCTGGTGGAGTCATTCGACTTCGCCTTCCCCCAGATCATCTCCTCGCTGTCAGCAGATCACTCGAACCACGGCAACGACGGAAGCTTCTCAAGCTGAGTCACAGTCACACCCGGTACCAACAGCATGGATGGTCGCGCTTTACACTCAGTTGATTGTGTGTGTGTGTGTGTGTGTGTGTGTTGACCGGTATTGCAGGACAGCTGGTCGCCATACGCGAGGAAATATGTTCGGCGGCGGGAGAAGCTGGGTCAGGCGTTGTTTGCGAAACAACGACTCTCTTTGTCGCGCGAGTCCCATATCCACTATCACACCGAGCAGCTGACCAGGTCACCCCCGAGCAGCGCCTCCCCCCCCGTCTGGCCGCTTCATCAAGCCACCCAAGAGGCAGGCGTACGGGCGCCACCACTTACACGCCCAGGCCGGCATCAAGGACTTGCGGAGCGGGTTGAGCTCAAAAAGGAACAAGGACACTGCCACCGTGGTGATGTCAGCCTTGGGCAACATCGACGACCTTTCCCTCTGGCGGCTCTAAGGGAAAGGACGAGGAAGCAGCGTGGTAAGGTCTCGACAGGGTGGTGAAGAAAAGAGATACGAGACACCATCCAATGTCTCCTACAGGTCATTGCTGCCTACATTTTATATTCGTTGGGCTTCTTCCCTCGCTTGGGTGCGTCTCCGGATTTCCCTTTTGCGGTCTCTCTGCCTGACGAAATTCCTTGCGAAGTTGATTCGGTGGAGGAGGTCACAAAAGCCATGGGAGAGGCCAAAGGCGACATCACAAGCCTTTTTCTATACTACTCCGGTCATGACGGTGCACTTATGAAGTGCACTTCACCAACTGGTAGGATCACAAGTGCATGAGCCATCCAGCACACGAGTATACTGTATGTATGTCTCTTTCCCGGGGTGGTTTTCGTATCTTCATGTAGAGGCCCGGTCCGACCCCATCCCCTTCGCGCCATCAGTCCGAAAGCACCGTCACCTCTTCCGTCCCCACCTGCCACGCAAGCAGCACAAGAATGTGGCTCAGCCATCACCAAAGAGAGTACGCAGGGCGGGATGGGAGTGTGCAAATTGCTGGGTGGCGAATATTGACGTCTGTCTCTGTCTGCTCCATGGCTATGTGTTGGCAAATGGGTAGGAGGGTGGATCTTTCAGCCTCAGCGAAACACCGAAAGGCGTCTCCAACGTCTCCTTCAACAGGTCATCGTTGCCTACATTTTATATTCGAGGGGCTTCTTTCTGCGATCGATACGTACCACACACTAGTAAGTCGGACAAGGATCTTCAATAGAGCAGCTGTGACAGAGACGGCAGCGAACGTGGTTCCAGATCAAGCACCCTCGACCACGTAGCCCTCGTACAGCAGCACCCTCGAGCGAATTCAAGGATCCAACCACGCTGAGGCTGTTCAACGCGCTACTCACAAAGCCCGACAAGCTCCTCACCCGCGATGAGCTCAATGAAGCCATCATCAAGGCTATCGGCCCGCCCGAAGCGAGAATGTTCATGTAGAGCCCGCCGGCCTGCGGAAGGTGTATACTGCTGCTGTTTTCCCAGATGACTGGAAGGTGGGCAGGGACAGCGAGGTACACTTCACAGCAGACAACACATGCAGCCCAGCTCACTGACCGCCCACGGCTGTGCTTGCCTGCTTTCCTGTGTGTCTGTTCAGGACGACTTCACGGTAGGCACGACACACACCACACCGCACGACACCACACCACACACCCGTTTGCTCTCTCTCTTGTGCGTATATGTATAGGATGCGGATGTTGACCCCAAGGTCGTCCGCACTCGGCAGATGGCCCACAGTCAGAGGAGGACCAGACGGTCGACCTCTCTCCGGACGCGGTGACTGTCGATGACCCGCTCATGTCGTCGCGCAACCCCTCTATCGCCTTCAAGCGGAGGGAGAGGGCCATGGCCTGGAGCTGTCTGCTGCTGAGAAGGTCAGCGATGAAAGACTGACGACGTCAGCGTGTTGTGCGAGAGCAAAGCGACGTGTGCATGGTGTGGTTGATGTACACGTTGCAGATATGGGGCGGTGACCTGAAGGCCATCAGGCGGACGCTGAGGGAGCGAAAGGAGCAAAAGGAGAAGGAGGAAAGGGAGAGGGCGCAGCAGGAGGGTAAGGCTACATCACATCCCCACACAGGCAGGCAGGCAGGCAGGCAGACAGCCAGGCAGGCAATCACGCACATGACAGACAGACAGATGTTGCTTGCCCTTCCCTTTGCGTCAGGTGCGAGTGAGGTTGAGGGAGGGTCCCCCGGAGGAGCCCGGGCAGTGCGGCCAGGCCATGCGCCGTGAGCCGATGACCATTGACCATTCAGCAGTTCCACAAGTGTGTGCTGGAGAGCCTCTTCACACAGACGCGGCACCGAATCCAGGTAAGTATAAGCACAACACCGGATCCATCCATGTGCAGAGAGCGCTCAGCTCCTTGTGTGCGGGTTGGCTGCAGTGGCGGGTCCGGCAAGGGGACGGCAGGCTGGGGCGGGAGATGGAGGGCATCGATCTGGGCATCAGTGGTGAGTCCGTCACACAGGGCCACAGAACCACTGCAATGCGCGTTGTTTTGATTTGTCTTGTGTGCAGGATGACCTGCTGTCACTACGGTGGGTGCGCATGGACGGTCATCGTCCAGCACACAGACACAGCCGGCCACACGCACCAGAGCGTAAGGCGACAAACACGCCATCGCCAACACACACAACTGCGTGAATCTTATGCGTGTGTCTATGTGTTGAGTGCAGGAGTTTTCGCTGCCAGTGCCCAGCAGTGTGACCGCTGACCTGATGGAAGCCGCCGTGAAAGACCTGCAGACCCTCGTAGACGTCCCCGTGTGCAAGACGTAAACTGCCCGGCCTCACCGCACATGTTGTGCAGCGGCTGCGGAGGCGCCTTCCTCATCTCAGGAGGGCTCCGGCTCTGGCAGCGCCCTTCACTCATGGCTGCTGTCTCTGTCTGCTCCGTGGCGGCAGGAACTATCTGACGAGGAGGTCAGCCATAGAACACCGACGTGCGTGTTGTCGTGATTGACGTGCGCATGGTGTCATGATTGACGTTCGCATGGGCAGGCTTGCTGTCATGCTTCTCACTGTGTCTCCAACAGGTCATCGCTGCCCACATTTTATATTCGTTGGTTTCTTGTTCGCTAGCTGCGCACACAAGTACTCACTATTTCTCGAGTAAGCAGCAAGGAAGTAGGGGTGAGAGAATATGCATGTCTGTATCGGTGTGCACGATGTGTTTGTGCAGGAATCTGCTGCAAGTCTCGCAGCTGGTTGGACGCCAAAGGTCAAGGAGGAGCCCGGTCTGGAGCGACCATCCACGACCTTCGCAGGAGTCTTACACGACGGCAGCAACGGGAGCAGCATGAGATGACCGCAACCAGGTGAGAAAGGACAGTCATGCAGAGAGCTCATTTGTGCATTGCACTGTGTGTGCCTGTGAAGAGAGCAGCATCGACCCCCCCAACCTTCTCGATGCCATGGAGAACTGGTGAAATACTCTTACCTCCTTGCCGTCCCTCACCATGATGACGGACAGGTAATAGCCTGTGATTTCCCCCCCTCTCACCCCCGCTGGTGACCTGTCGCACTTTCCGCTGAAGATGAGGAGCCGAAGGATGAGTGGGTCAATACGGCCATTGTCCACCTGGAGCAGCTCGGCCGTTACGCTGCTCAGACTAGGGAGATCCCTCACGAAGTTCGTCTTCCTGTTCCTCATGCAGCTGAGAGATGACGGACCGTCGCTTCCATCGAGATGGTACGATTTTAGATAGGATGCACGTCGAGGCAGAAATACGGACCAGAATGCCGCCATTCAACCGCGTCAAGTGATGCCCGTCTGTCTGATGTGTTGCAGGGTGTGTCATCAAGAAGGCCACGTCTGTGTGCATCGAGAACACCGCAGGAGCAGGCGACCGGCTGGTCGGCCCGAAGAAAGCACGATGGTTGCAGTCGAATCTGGTGCGAGGCCTCAAGGACAGACACGGGCAGCGTCTGGATCCCGGTGGCGACTTCGTCGACATGCTGCAGCGGAAGCGCGGCCGTCCTATCCACGACATCTTCCAGTTTGTCGACAAGGACGGGGCATTCTGCATCAGCCGGCAGCTGTTCGACACCATGGACGGCATCCTCAAGGGCAAGGGCGGCATGCACATCGTGCTGCTGACCGGCGGCGAGGACCAGCTGGAGGACGACATGAAGGCTGTACGGCATCTGAAGGAGCAGCTGGGCCGCGCCTTCTTCGAGGGTGCCATGGCAGGCTGACGATGCTCCTGAAGCTGTTTGGCAAGAATCGCGAGGAGCTGCTCTACGATGACGGTACGAGGAGGCGGATGGATTGACACACACGATCTCATTCCTGCATATCTGTCTTGCAGGGTGTATTCTTCGGCAGCGTCGCTCCGTCTGCTCAACGTCGGCCGCGAGGGAGACCGACTCGCCAGTGCCGACGAGATGGAGTGTGTCATGCTCCGCTGCGTGCGAGGCCTGCCGGTGGGGAATGAGCAGGAGAACATGCGGCTGGAGCGGTCCTTCTCGGACATCTTCCAGTTTGTCGACAAGGACGGAGCCTCATCCATCACCAAGCAGCACTTTACCACTGTCAGTAGCATCCTCTCGGGCGGCATGGACATCCTGCTGCTGACCGGCGGCAAGGACCGGGTGGACGGCGACAGGGAGGCTGTACGGCATCTGAAGGAGCAGCTGGGCGAGACCTGTGCACACTAGTCAAGTAAGTGGATGGACAAGGCAGCCAGTCCTCACTCGTGCAGAAATGTGTTGTGTCTGGCCCTCGTGTCCTGAGGAGGCTCGTCGGCTGTGGGAACAGGCGTCGTCTGCAGAGGACGTCTGGTGCAGCGACGTCTGGTACCTCCACAAGACTCAAACCTGCAGCGACAACTCACTGATACGAAGTAGGCTTCATCGATCACATGCAGACCACCACCACAACGAGGCCTCATTCAGCCTGCATTCAGCCTGCACATAATGTCCGTCGGTCTGCTGTGTTACAGGTTGTGTCATCAGGAGGTCGACGTCACTCTGCCTGCAGAATGGAGCCGGAGAGCGAGAGCGGCTGATCGGCCCGACCTTAGGATGGCTGCCTACATTTTATATTGGTTGTTATCTTCGTTCGCATTGCCGGCTGTCCACTGAGCACTTCCAGGCGCCTCACACTTCAATCTGCAAGAATGAGTAAGGGCACACACACATACGGGGATGCATGGCAACAGAAGAGACGCATCGACACATCAATGGGGCGAATCCTTTTCCTTCGCCGTGTCTCTGCTGCATTGCATGCAGCATGCGGCGAGGCGAGCTGGCTGCTGTGAGGAGGGACCCTCCATCTGACGTACACAAGGGTACAGTGGGTACGTCGTCGAATGTTCTTGCTGTCATGCTTCTCACTGTGTCTCCATCAGGCTATCGCTGCCCACATTTTATATTCGTTGATTTGGTGAGACAGCCGCTGGTACGACAGAGAGAGACAATGGGATCAGAGCACACGGACCGATGATATATGATAGCGCATGTCATTTCTTCTGCTTCAGGCGGGAGCAGTGATCCCATCCCGCTGCCAGAGGTCGACAGCGCCCAGCTCAAGCAGATCAGCGAATATGCGGAGCATCACAAGGGCCAGGCGGCCGACATCAGCAAGCCAATCCAAACAGATGAACTGACGGAGGTGAGAGTTGACAGTCAGTCAGTCAGTCAGTGAGGGAGGGAGGGAGGGAGGGAGGGAGAGGGCCGACGTGCATCGGCAGGATGTCGTGCGTGTGTGAGTGCAGGTTGTTGCTGATGACTGGGACGCCAAGTTCATCGAACGCCTAACCGTGGACGGTCTCTGTTCGCTGACTCTGGTACGATATGACAACCCCCCACACATACCGCTGGTGCCCATTGGTGCTGTGGGTGTGGTGGGATGCAGGCGGCTGAGTTTGTCGACTGCCGCCCTCTCATTCAGCTGGCCTGCGCTCGCATCGCATGCATCATCGCGGTACGAATTGTGATAAGGGCATTAAGACACTCACTGCCATACCAAGCCGACACGGGCGTCTGCGTGGATGTCAGTACGTTGGATTCGACGACATTGCTGCACTCGCTGCCCTGGAGGCCGGCACGTCCACAGGCAAATACACCCACATCCCGCGAGACGCCATCCCCTTCGACTGGCACCGTATGGCGACACACAAAGAAAAGAAACTTCTCTCCATCTGAACGCTACCAACTGCCCATCTTCGGCCGGCACTCTAACGCTCGAGAGGCCGACCGTTGTGGCTCCGAAGGACCTGGTCAGGATCTCACCAGGCAGTATGGATGCACACATACGGGACGCATCGAGACAGGCTGCTGGCAATTTGCCGTTCATGGGCTCGACCGCTCTGGCGGATTGAAAAGGTGGCGCCCATGAACGACGAGCGAGGAGGAACCGGAAGAAAAGGTGGCGCGGCCCATCTGTGGCTAACCTTCGTGACGCTCTTGTCGACGAGAAATTGCCGCCTGACGCTAATAACCCCAAGCTAATATCCACAACAATGCGATCGGCGGAGGCCATCGTGGTCAGTCTGTTGGTGTCGTGTATTGATCTGCTGGAGAAGGGACAGACGTTGCTCGAGACGGAGGTGCCGGTCTTCGATGAGGCCGAGATGGCTGACATGACGGCTGCAGTGGCATGGTGAAGAGACGACGAGGGTACACATGGATGTTCAAGACTGACCAGGAATCGGTAACAATAAGGAAATTGAGACACTTTGGGTCATCCTTATTGTCGTTCATACTGTTCGCTGTAGCTACAGAGTATCGCTGTCTGCATTTTATATCCCTGTCCTTCTTCCTTCCTTCCAGTATCCGCCAAAGTCAGAGACATGATCGACGATCACGGACGCCGCAGAATGGACCGACATTCATTTGGCGGAGAACGACGTGATCGCCGACCATGAGTTTGTTCTTGACGTACATGAGAAGAGACGCTGAGACCGCTCCGTCTTCTCATGTCATTACGTGTGTGTTTGTGTGTCTCTTGGTTGTGTCTACAGGGCCCCTACGATTTCCCCCAACGGCGTCTTTCCCGTTCACCACACCGACAAGAGGCGGGGGAAGATCGGGGGGCTCCTGAACCCAAATCAGCGGGAGAAGCAGTCCATTTTCAAACACCGACAAGTGTACTCTTCCGATTTGTTGTCAGGTTGTCAGGTTTGTTTCCTCACAGGTGTTCACATTCGGGATCCAACAGCTTTACACGAAGCGAGTCGGTGCTCACAGGCGCCGTCTTCTTCTTGTGGATGGACAATATCAGAAAGATGACCGAGCGGCTGGGCGAGTGCTCAACCAGCAGGAGGGACAGACTGACACGTGGAAGGCATCTGCCATCGACGCAAAGAGGTAAGAGAGAGAGAGAGAGAGAGAGAGAGGGAGGGGTGGCGCATGCATCATGCTGGTGGGGTGTGGATGGACGTGTGTGTTCGTGTGTGTTTGCGTGTGTGTGTGCAGGTTCACCGGCAAACAGGAACTGTCTGCTCTTGAGCAGGCGCTCGGTAAGGCACTTACAGCACACACACACACACGCCACATCCGTGGGTCTGCACAGCACAGCCACCACCCTCTCTCCCTCTGTCGTTTGTGGTCCCTTCCTGCAGCCAAGGAGGTCGACACGTGCGTCACGTCCATCAGTGAGGGATACACTCACGCGCAGCTATTGGGGCGACCGCCTTACTCACCTGTCTGCCTTTCTCCTGTCTGCCTCTCTGACAGAGTCCCTCAAGAAGGAGATGCTCGACACCGCCAAACAGATGCGCGAGCTCACCGAGTTGAAGGCGGCTTCCGAGCCCTGCGGCGAGCCTCCAGAACAGCTCACCCCGGTCACCTGCCGCCGCGCACGTAAGAATGCACACAGTGACCGATCGACCAACACGTCAGTGACTCTGTCTTCCTTTGTGTGTCGGTGCGTCCAGGTGACTCGACGTATCTGCTGCTGGTGACCTACCGAGACGTCTTCAACTTCATCACCGCCAACCGCGAGAAGCTCCAGTCGCTCAGCAAACTTGGCGACGCCGTCGACAAGATCCTCAACAACTTCCCAACACACGACTCCGTCGACGTCATCAAGAACGGTGAGATGGATCCCAACACGACACACACACACACACGCCTACACGACTACACTGAGTGAGTGCATTTGTGTCTTGGCTGCCCTTCCCATGTCCGCGTCGTCAGAGTTGGACTTCGCTCGTTGCGGCACCGACGTGCTGGAGGCATCCCTGGAGCAGATTGACCTCTGGTTCAAGAAGTGGATCAAGGTATGCCGCAGACGATCCACAGCACCCCAGCTCAGCAAGCCTAGCCATCCATTTGTGTGTCGTCTGGTGTCTGTGTGTGTCCGACAGGAGGGCAAGATGATCGCAATGGACCTCAGACAGTAATGACGCCACCACACGACACCAAAACGCAACACAGAATGCGCACAAGCCGTCACCCAACCACTGCCTTGCCTCCCATCCATCCCATCCATCGTCAGGTATGCACTGTCCCCGGCCATCGCCTTTCCCGAGTCCACCAGCCCTGTGAGCGTCCGCGAGGCACTGGCGGTGTGGCAGGGCCCTGCTCGGGCGGCACAGCTGGTCCGTCAAGTCAAGAGCTTCGTCAATGGTACGGCGGCAGCCATAAAACTCACACCTACACACTGTCACACGCATGAATCGTCTCGCTGTGTGTGTGTCCTGCCCTTCAGGCTGGAAAGACTTTCGCGCATTCCATGAGGCGTGGATGAGGCCGGGTTTGAGAAGCGCATGAGTGAGATGGATGATGCGGCCTACGACCTGGTGTCGACGGCTGAGCAGAGCCTCTCCCTCCTCGGCAAAGCGCACTGCGAGCAGCTGTCCAGAGAGCTGAGGAGCATCTCCGTCTACAAGGGCAGCACCGATTTCTCGTGGGCGGAGTGGGCCTTAGACGACTGGGAGCCAGTCAGCAAGTGCTTTCGCGACTCGTGCACGGTCGTGGGCGGCAGGTGGAAGTATAGCGAGGCTGACGACTCGGTGTCCGTCGTCTTCCAGGACGGCGAGTACAAGGGCCAGGTGTTCGTAATCTTCTTCACCGGCGGGGAGGATGAAGAAGAGCCGGAGGGAGGGCACAGCGTGCCCTCACCTCCCCCTGCCCCAGTCATCCCATCGCCCCACCCCCCTGCTGCGCCCCGCACGGGCCTTTTCCGCGCCCACCTCCCGCCAGCCGCAGCAGGGGCAGAGGGGGGCCTATCGTTGGCTACATTTTATATCCGTTGGGCTTCTCTTTCTTCATCGACTGTCACAGACTGGCCAATGCACTTCCACACGTAAGGAGAGATGTCAGGCCAACCACGTCCCTCTCTGTCTCGGTGCGTCTCATTCAGCTGTGCTGCGCATAGGCTGAAGATGAAGGACCTCTCCGGCGATGACGGCAGCAGAGAAGACGCCGGCCGCGTCACGGTAGGCAAAGAGATAGAGAGACACAGATGGTATGAACGCCGCGCACTCAATGTGGGCGTATTTGATGACATAATCTACAGGCTGTACGCCTATCCCAAGCACGAGGTCAAGCTGTCTGTCTCCGTCCACACACAAGACCCCTACCTCCTGAGCAAGGACGACAAGAAGCTGCTGTATCGTTTCTCGGTCTGTCTGCTGGGGTGCCATGCTGAGGGAAAGAGGAGCCTGGAGCTGATCGACCCCGTGTCGCTCGAGGGCGACGTTTACACGGCTGGAGTGCAGCAAACCTTCTTCGCCGAGGGCCTGGTGTGGTCGGCCGCTCGCACCGGCCGGTATCGGATGCAGGACGACCTCATTCCTGAGGCAGAGTCGCTCTCATCCATCCAGGGAGGTGTCTGTCTCTTTCGAGCGCATCTTCGCACCATGGGCACGATGGCCACTCTCTCGCGAGTCTATCTTAGCACTCTCCCCGCGACGGAGAGGACCCTGAGGCGCACCATACCAGATGTGTACGGCCAGAAGCCCGACTCCAATCTCCACCTAGAGCCGCTCATCAAGTCGATGGTCGCCGGCACGTGCCAGGGCAGGGTCGACGTGTCCTTTGTCGGGTCGGGATCGACCGTCGGCCACTGGAGGGCCGGCAGGAGCTCGTGCATCACTTCAAGGACAGCAATAGCAAAGCGAGATCCAAAAGCAGATTGTTCCGAGGAGAGGTGGGTGGTGCTGACTACTCTACGCAGCTGGAGGCAATGAAGGCCTTCAAGGAGCTACCCGTGGCGGAGAAGGAAGCTGCCATGCAGGAACAGGTGCGGCAGCCAGCGAGAAGAAGCACATCCCTCCATCCACCCTCCCTCCCTTTTTGTCTTCTGATGTCCGACTGGTTGCCTGTGTGGGTGTGGTGTGTATTGTATTCAATGTATTGTGTGGTCAGTGGTCGAACGAAGAGGACGTCCACCTGATGGAGCTGCACGCCACGCTCGGCAACAGACACACACACACACACACACGTTGCCTGCATTTTATATCCGTTGTGCTTCGTCTTTTGAAAGTATGGCGCCGGAACCGACCCCAACGCGCCGGTCGTTCGAGAGAGTCACTTCTCGCGGTCGGCTGGGAGTGACGGCGGGGTTGCTTCACTGACCTGGCGCCGTAGGCGAGAGACCGTGTCAACTGCGCGTCAGTCGGCGTGAGAGGCGACTTTGTAGGGGAGAGGGGCGCTGCTGAGTGTTTCAGCTGTCCTCGGTAAGCGCGTGTGTGCACACTGGGGTGGAGAGGATGATGCATGTGCACTGCATGGGACCTCTTGAGACCTCTTGCCTCTGTGCTGTGCTCTCAGGTCTTGCCTCGTTTGCCTGACGACCCGGCGGCCCCATGATACGTCGGGCACATCCCTGCTGACAAGGCGAGACACGGAGACACTCGCATGACGATGGGCCTGTGCATCTGCATGACACCGATGGCCCTTCTGTGTGCCTTTCGCGCAGCATCTTCCGTGTACTTCATCCTTATGGCGTCCACCTCGTTCCCCTCGTGCAGCCCTGCTGCTGCTGCCGCGGCCGCCACACCGGCCCCCACCTCAGTGCCATCCGCCAAGCCGGCCCCACTCAGCTATGTCACCCGAGATAAGCTGGAGGAGCTGCAGGAGGAGTCAACGCCGAGCGCGTTGTCGGCGACAAGCTCATGGATGCAGAGCAGTTCAAGCGCCACATTCTCGACTACTACGAGACGGTGACCGCGAAGCTGAAGGAGAGGCAGAAGCGGGAGGAAATGAAGACGATCGTCCAAGTGGTCGACAAGCCCGGCATCAGGAAGATGGGTGTGTGAGCATTGCACAAGATCCTCGACCCCAAAGGTGATTATGCGTTCACCACCAATTCCGGCATCGAGTCGACATCCAATCATGTCCAACACCCCTGCCAAAGGAGCTTGGAGAGGTGACATGTCTCTCAGATCTATGGCTGTCTACATTTTGTATTCGGCGAGACATATGCCAAGGACAACGATCCAGTCAAAGCCAGCGGCAACCTTTGGCAGTGCTCGAACACGGCTGAAGACAGCCGAAGTCATTCATGGGCATCCCGTTGCCCAGCGAGACGTCGAGAGAGGACAAGCAGAGCGACCGGCCTTTCAAACTAAAGAGAGACGATGAAGGTACAACAAGAGTGAGTAGACATGTAGATGAGTGTGGCATCGCAACTGTCGATGATGTTCGGGTGTCTCTTCAGGCTCATCGCTACCTACATCTTATATCTGACCGGCCCCTTCCTTACTTCTACGCGCAACCACTTTGCCGCCTCCTACTGGAGCACACGTACGAAAGCCCTGTCGCAGCCGTGTGTACCTGTTCCTTGACAGGTACGGCGTAGTACTCGTCGACGAGAGCTTGATCGAGGACAACAACAAGCGGCTAATGCAGCGGTGGTCGAAGCTCAGGCAGGACGACAAATGCGGCTGCTGCTTTCGACTTTTCTTCATGGCGGGCGACCAGTCGACAACACACGACGACTGCATGGCCCTGCGGCTGCTCCGCGCGACGTTGGGCGACAGCCTCACCCGACAGACAGTCCTTTCATTCATCAACGCTGCGCCTCTTCAATGGCATGCTTACGATCCCTGACAAGCTGCTTCCCCGCCAACAGCTCGATGAGATCATCGCCAATGCCGTCGAGCCGAAGGATGAGTGGGTCAATACGGCCATTGTCCCCGTGACGCTTCTCAGACAAGGGAGATCCCTCACCAAGCGGATCTACCTGTCCCTCGACAGGTACGGCGTGGCGCTGGTCGACAAGAGCTTGATCGAGGACAACAACAAGCGGCTGGTGCAGCGGTGGTCGAACTCAAGCAGGACGATAATTGCGGCTGTTTCTTTCGACTTTTCTTCATGGCAGCGACCGGTGGCACCATAGACGACGACTGCATGGCCCTGCGGCTGCTCCGCGCGGCGTTGGGCGACGACCTCACCCGCCGTAGAGTCGTTTTATTCATCATCCCGACGCGCCTGCAGGCCGCTGCTGCCCAGAAGACCCGCGGTCAGCTTGCGACAGCCATTGGCCGCGACGTCAACGACAAGTCGCTGGAATGGGGTCGGTGGGTGCTGAGCGGTCCCGACAGTCCCCTGCAGGTTGGTAGAGGGCCTGCTTCAGACGTGAAGCTCGACGACTGTGACCACCTCGTCGTGCTTCCGGAGCCGTGTTCGACTTCGCATTCAGCGGGAACCAGTGGCTCCTGGAGCGATGGGCGCTGCCGCAGGAGGGAAGGAGTGGACTTTTTCATGGCTGGAGACCAGTCCACCACAGCCAAGGACCGCGACGCCCTGCAGCTGTGATCACTGACCCGCCTCTCGGTGGTCGGACTGATCCTCCCAGCTCACATGCAGACCGCCGTCGCCGAAGATATCCGCCACCAACTGGCAACAGCCATGGGCCGGGGGGTCGGCGACAAGTCGCTCGTGTGCGATCGGTGGGTGGTGGTTCGCCCTGACAGCCAACAGCAGGTGGGTAGAGGGCGTGCTGCTCACGTCACGCTCGACGTGTGTGACCGCCTCGTCGTGCTGGTGGAGTCATTCGACTTCGCCTTCCCCCAGATCATCTCCTCGCTGTCAGCAGATCACTCGAACCACGGCAACGACGGAAGCTTCTCAAGCTGAGTCACAGTCACACCCGGTACCAACAGCATGGATGGTCGCGCTTTACAC